CGCATCTGCAAGTGCTGACCTGTTAGAGCAGGCTTGCTTCTTCTCTTGTTACTGGTTACTGTTTTGTGTTCCACATTTCTCAAAATGCTTCACCTTTTGCATCTTTATGCTATATGTTTATAATGATAAGATAGTTACAAGAGGTCTGAATTCTTGTCTCAATTGCATGCTAACAAATACTTTATAAAGAATTTTCCCAGTATGAGTTTTCTTTTTTATTATTATTTTATTGAGGTGTAGTCAGTTTACAATGTTGCATCAATTTCTGATATGCAGCACTATTCTTCAGTCATACATGAACATACATACATTCATTTTCATGTTCTTTTTCACCGTGAGCTACTACAAGATATTGAATATATTTCCCTGTGCTATACAGTTTAAACTTGTTAATCTATTTTATATATACCAGTGTCTGCAAATCTCAACCTCCCAGTCTGTCCCTTCCCACTCCCCTCCCCTCTGGCAACCACAAGTCTGTATTCTATGTCTGTGAGTCTGTTTCTGTTTCATATATAATGTCATTTGTCTTTTGGGGGGGGGATTCCACATATGAGCGATCTCATATGGTATTTTTCTTTCTCTTTCTGGCTTACTTCACTTAGAATGACATTCTCCAGGGCCATCCATGTTGCTGCAAATGGCATTATTTTATCACTTTTATGGCTGAGTAGTGTTCCATTGTAGAAATATACCACACTTCTTTATCCAGTCATCTGTCAACGGACATTTAGGTTGTTTCTATGTCTTGGCTATTGTGAATAGTGAACAGTGGGGTGCAGGTGTCTTTTTGAATTAGGGTTCCCTCTGGATCTATGCTCAGGAGTGGAATTGCTGGGTCATGTGGTAAGTGTGTTTTTAGTCTTCTGAGGACTCTCCGTTTGGTATGAGTTTTCTGATGTGAGCTGCAGGGCAAGGGCATCCACTCTGACTTTAGAATTGGCTTTTCCTCCGTGTGAAAACTTTTTTGCTCACCAGGAAATAAGGGAACACTAAAAACCTCCTTCCTTCATCACACAGAGAGCTGCTTGTTTCAGTGCGGACCTTCTCATGGCCTGCAAGTGCTGTCTCCACGGGGGCTGGGCTTCCCGCACGTGCGTCACAGGATTTCGTCTGCAGCAGCCACTACCTTGTGTGCCCCGAGAGGGCGCTCCTAGTAAAGCTTGTGCTGCCTTCCTCACTGTGTCTGGGATGAGGCTTACTCTGAGTTCTTTGTGTTTACTGAACCAGGAACTCTAAGTGAAGGCTCTTCCACTATGATTGCAGGGCCAGGGGTTCTCTCCCCATGATCGTCCTGGTGGTCTAAGGAAGCAGATTCCTGGCTGAAGGCTCTTCCTCACTGATTGCAGACATAGGGTATCTCTTCGTGAGTTTTCTGGTGCATATAACCATGAGAGCTGCATCTAGGGGTGTTCCCACTTCCATTGCGCTTACAGGGCTTCTCACCAGTGTGAATTCTCGCGTGGCCTCGAAGGTCCTGTCTTTGTCTAAATGTTTTTCCACACAGATGGTTTTCATATGATTTCTTTCCCGTGTAAATGAGTCCATGACTTTGAAGGAATGAAGTTTCACTGAAATCCCTTCTATAGTCATTCCAGACAGGGGTTCTCTCCTGTATGTCTTCACGGATGTGAATTAAAGTTAGCCCGCTGTTGAAGTCTCTCACATTCATTACATTTTAAGGTTTCTCTCCAGTGTGACTTTCGGTGTATATAAATGAAAGGCTCCAGCTGAGTTATTTTCCACCTTCATGACATTTGTAAGGGTTTTCTCCAGGCTGAGTTCATGATGCTAAGTTTAGAGTGTTGACTAAAGCTTTGCCGCATTGATGAGCTCTATATGGTTTCTCTGCTGTATAGTTAAGTTTATGCTAATTAAAAATGAGTAATGGCCAAAGGCGCTTCCAGATTGGTGACAAGCATAGGGGTTTTCTCTTGTGTGAATTATTGGTGTATATAAAGGTGTGCACTCTAGTTGAATTATTTCCCACATTTATAACATTTATAGGAGTTCTTTCCTGTGTGAATTAATACATGTGGAGTTAAATTAAACCTCACGTGCATTACATTTCAAGAATGCTTCTCCAGTGTGAAATCTCTGCCATAAAGAAGGAAAGGAGAGATTGTTAAAAGATTGCTGACACACGTGAATCACTTCACTTCTCTGCATATTAGTTCTGCCCTGCTCCTTCAGTGATGGTCTCCTTTTAGAAACTCCCCATCTTAGTTCTATTCCCACGCAGTTTTACTTTGCTGATTTCACTTGATTTTCTGTTTTGTAGCTTCTCACCTGCATAAGTTTCTGATAAAGGTAAGAAACCATCCACATACCAACTAGAAGATTAAAAGACAAAATTAGTAAAAGTCATCTGTATCTACAATAAGCATTTAAGGAATACACAAGACAATTATTAAGTAATCAATCACCTGAAGCAATCACATACATATATAGAATGCTGTACCAAAACCACATAATACCTGCAAACCAAAAATCTATCATTGATATTCACACAGAAAGAAAAAGAAATCTAAACATAACATAAAAGATAGTAACCAATATACAATATAAGAGGAAAAGGGAAAAAAAGACTTTAAAAATCCAAAACAATAAACAAAATGACAATAAGAACAAACCTATTAATATTTACCTAACATGTAAAAATACTAAATGCTCCAACCAAAAGATGTAGACTGGCTGAATGGATACAAAAACAAGACCAATATATTTGCTGCCTACAAGAGACTTACCTCAGATCTAGAGACTCATACAGACTGAAAGTGAACGGATGGAAAAAGGTATTCCATACAAATGGAAATCAAAAGAAAGCTGGAGTAGCAATACTTACATCAGAAAAACTGTAAATACTTACATCAGACTTTAACATAAAGACTGTTGCAAGAGACAAAGAATGATCAAAAGATCAATCTAAGAAGAAGACACAACAATTGTAAATACATATGCACCCAATCTAGGAACATCTCAATATGTAAGGCAAATGTCAACAGACACAAAGAGAGAAATTGACAGTAACATCGTGAGGCTGGGGACTTTAACACCTCCATTATGTCAATGGACAGATCATCCGGACAGAAAATCAATAAGGAAACACAGGCCATAAAAGACACATTAGAACAAATGGACTTAACTGATACTTATAGAGCATTCCATCTGAAAGCGACAGAATACACATTGTTTTCAAGTGCACATGGAACATTCTCCATGATAGATCACATACTGAGCCACAAATAAAGCCTTGGTAAATTTAAGACAATTGAAATCATATCAGGCATCTTTTCTAGAGACAATGCGCTGAGATTAGAAATCAACTACAAGAAAAAAAAAGACAAAAACACAAGTACATGGAGACTAAACAGTATGCTATTAATCAACCAATGAATCACTGAAAAAAATCAAAGAAAAAAAATACCTGTAGACAAATCCAAACAAAAACACAACCATCCAAAACCTGGGGGACACAGCAAAAGCAGTCCTAAGAGGAGAGTTTATAGTGATAAAAGCTTACCTCAGGAAACATAAAAAAACTCAAACAACCTAACTGTAAACTTAAAGCAACTAGAGAAAGAAGAACAAATATAAGCTGAAATTATTAGAAGAAAAGATATCATAAAGATCAGAGCAG